GGCTTACAACATGATAAAATACATTGAAATACAATAGTACATAATAAATTACCATTAAATATAACAATACAAAAATACATTGATTTACAAATACAAAATTAAAATTATCAGTATAAATTAAAATTAAAATTAAAATCAGTACAAAATTAAAATTATCAGTATAGGTTGCATGGTAAGCAAAGGTGTTGCTTGCACACAGATGTCTGTGACATGGCTCATGGGCAGTGGGCTATACAGATCATGACCCACAAAAAGAATTGCAGAACACAAGATCCAGACTTGAACATACAAAGCTGTGGGACAAGAAATCTGTCTTATTTCTCATCAAGCAGGCCAAAAAATTGGTGTCAGATCCCCCAGACAGCTGATTCCTCTTCACAGGTGAATTCGAGAATTTTGCACAGGGTTTGGAGAAGCATTCGATTAGATTCTTTGTTTTGCTGTTCTCATGTGTACGGCGTTTGCAGGTAAAGTCAATCAAGCACCTGGATCCTTTGCCATCCCTCTGAACCTACAAGGTGCTGAATAACTCCTGGGCTCTTGTGAGGTAGACTACTTTTGTTCACTTTTTGTAACAGTTTCTAAAAGATTTTCTATTCTAAAACATTGCAAAGTGCACATGTGTGGGGAGGAGTCAACATATAATTAAAGCTTCGCCATTCAAGAGCCACACACCAGATGTCACAATCTTCTCTTCTCTTATTCTGGCCATGATCACCCACAAAATATTTCATCAGGAGACCCTATTGTTCAACTGCAGCTTGCTCCTTGGGGCTCACAGATTCTCTGCAACCCTCTTATGCATGTGTGCTATTGTTTTCCTTTGTATTGTTGGGAACCGATAACCCTTTTGGTCCCAAAGGCAGCATTAGCGGTCTGCTGATGTATGCTTGCAGCTGAACGTGCACACCCTTATACACATGCTCATTCACACTCTGACACACACATGCACTTGCACTCATGTAGCCATCCCCCCTCTCACAAACACTCGTGCAAATCCCTTAGGGTAACCCCGAGTTTTCCCTTCCTGCACTAGCACTGGTAAGAAAAATTCCAGGGTTCTCCTCACAGGCACCAATAACAGCAGCAATAGACACACCCAAGGGCCACACACGGTCTGTTAACATGGGCTGTGCACCCCTGTTCTCCACATGTGGCCCTCATCCCCACAGGGTTTGTGTTGTCCAATCGGTACTGTTCTTGGAACGGCTACGGATTATCCAAGTGGAGATGGGCACGTTTTGTCTGTTCCCCCAGTCAGTATAAAGACAACCCTTGTTATCACCCAGGGTGGAAAGAAAGGCCAGCTGATTTCCGACGAGGCAGGAAGGAGGACTAGACTCTTAAATCTGCTCTGTGCGTACACGAGGGTCCATGCCTGTCAGGTGAAGAGGCTGAAATGGTCGTCGGTGTAAATCCAGACTGCGCGTCCTCTCCGTCATTTCGGTGGGGCAGCATTTTGGGTCAGCTGAGCAGTCTCTCTGACCTTACCCAGGATCCTCTCTCTGCCTGGGGCCAGCATTACAACAGAATGCTCGCCAGAGCAGTGCCCATGTATCATAAATCATGAAGCACTCTGTCTGATACCATTTATTGCTAAAATTCAGTAGCCAGTAGGCTAGGCTGACATTCGCATGTGATAGAGGGGCAAGCATTGTGACACGCAGTGTATACCCAGAAGAGGGACAAGACCAAGCCAGGATCACTGGTATACATACCTGTATTATGCATATGTTTGCTGTTCAACATTTCAGTGCATTGCTGCGGAATAGAGTTTAGAGCATTTTGAACAGGAGCTGGAGAGCCCTGCGTTCAAGTCCCCGTTCAGCTGTGATTTTGGGCTAGCCATGGATTCTTTGCCTAACCTACCTCACAAGGCTGTTGTGTGGATAAAACAGAGAGGAGATGCGGAATACAAATGGAATGAATATTCACACACATACATATACATCCGGGGAAAGTGTGCACGTAATACATGAAACAAGTCCCTGCATGGAAGGGAGGAAGCTTCCCCTACCATTTGGGACTCTCTCTGTAGAAATAGACAAAGACATTGTAGAACAGCTTCCCGCTACCATGGTTTGCCCCAAAGTAATTTGAGCAAATCACTCTAGCAGTGCCGCCTGCATTCCTTTTCCCAGTGGCATCTTCCACCCTTCATAGGAAGGTGACTGACCACCCAGCGAGCGCCTGCCTTTGCTGCCGCCTGCCTTGCCCTGCCGCCTCTCACTCCCCGCATGCCATCCCTTGATCCAGCCCCGCATTTCCCACAAGCGTCCCGAGCCGCCCTTCAGAAAGCACTGCTCTGTGGCAGAGGTCCACACGGCATTGTGGCAATCGAAGCGAAACAGAACCGGGGGGGGGGGGGGGGGGGTTGCACTGGCCAGTGTTAGCTTGGAATGCAAGCAAGAATGACTCACCGTCCCAAATGGTCACGGGGTTTGTGTGTCTCAATGCTCCGGCATTAAAGGCACAAGTTTGCATCATGAGGCTATTAAGGCTGCCCCATAATGCTAATACAGGGCTAAGAGGGTAGGGACCTGAAGGCTTCACCCCCCAACATCTGCCCCTCTTTCTCTCCCAGGTAAGTTAACTTCCATTTTCAGAGCCTGGCTTGGAGAAACACAGAGCGAATTGCTCCTCAAGCGTGTTTTCTCAAGGGTGGTGTAAAAGATTCTGGTGTGAAATAATGGCTCATGTGCGGAAGGGACCTTTTTTGGCCTGAGGAACAGGAACAGCTCTTGGGGATGGCTGTCCAGTGGTGGGAGGGGCTGAAGACAAAGGGGGCGGGGCCACAGGAAAAGAGGGTGTGGCTAAAGGCATAACAATGCTACCATGGAATAGAAATGACATTCTGTGTACAAGTGTTGTCTGGATTTTAATCGATGCCAGTTCCAGGTTTGAGGATTCCCCCCACACCATGTCAGTGGGGTCTGGTAGGTTTACTTGCTGATGATGGAAGCAGCTGCAACACAAATAATCAGTGTTGGGCAGTGGGGTCTAGGAACCACCAGTTTTATTTCCCATAATGTCCCAATGTAGCATTGCTCCGAGGTACCGTTCAGTGTAAAAGAAAAGCAATGAATAAAACTGAAGCACTGAAGACAACCTTTCTGGGGGCCACAGGGCTGACATCAGGGGAGGGGCCCTGGGGCCTTGGTGCCCCCCCCCCCAGCATGTAAGCACTGGGCCTGGTCACAGCTGTCTAAAGTTACATTGTAAAGTTGTGAGCCCCGTTCCTTTACAAACCAGGCCACTGACCAAGGTGCCCCATTTGAGATGTCCTGATTTTAAGATGCAGCTGGCCTTGATTTTGGTGCATTAGGTTTTTCTGTGCCTCTTCAAAATGGGCTTATCTGCTCCTTGGGGAGCTGCGGAGCTTAATTAAGATCCTTAAAAGGACAAAGGGTGCCACTAAAATTCAGAGAATCATTATAAATGTCAGTGCACTTTACAAGCTCTGGCAAAGTCAGATAATGAATAACAAGACCTTTAACTTTGTGATGTTCCCAAGCAACTCTGCTTAGAGATACAGCTCTTCAAATAACAGCCATAAAAGGCTGACATTTATAATCAAACACACATAATATCTTTATTAAGAACAGGAAAGGGTTAGGGTGTGTCTAAGAAACGGTGATCCTACTCTTCCCTTACCCAGCCGTTTTTCCTTCCGATAATCCTCCAGGTTGCTCAATAAACCCCCAATGAGATTAATTTCATAACCCTCTGGCTGCTCACTACTCGATGGAAGTCAGTGGAAATTCTTGGCATTTCTCAGGACACAGTTATGCCAGAATAAAATCTGGTTCTGTGAGCCATTCATCGAAGGTGCTTGTGCCACGAGTGTCACGGCCATGATTGTGCTCAATGCCCTTTGGGGAAGCTCCTGCCCTGTGATGCATGAGGACATCCGTAGGTCAGAGAGACCACCTAGCAAATCTCATTTTCAGCCCCATCTGATTCCCTGGAGAGATGCCACCAATCATGACAATACAGAGCCGGAAGGACAAATTCTTTGGGTTTTGTAGAAGGAAGCTTCTTCCATGCCTCTATTAGAACACGCTTGGCTGTACTGGGCATGACTTTAACCAATTATTGTGTGTCTAAAGAAGACACAACCTGGTGCCTTCCAGATGTTCTGGGCAACAGCTCCCATCAGACCTAGCCAGTATGGCAATGAGTACAGGTCTTCCACGGCAGTGGAATCTATAAAACAAATAGTTTATTTTTCATGATTGTGTTTGATGAAAAGAAAATAACATCAAAATCGGTGGGATTTATCTTCAAGGAAATTTGGTTAGAATTGGATTTACCAAACTGGGCAGTCAGCCCACTGACTTCAACAGGATTAAGCCCAGTATTTGGGCTATGCAGGAACACAGGACGCTGCCCACTGGTCTATCCAGCCCAATATTGTTGACACTGACTGGCAGCGGCTCTCCAGAGTTTCAGGCAGGAGTTTTTTCCATTCCTCTTGGGAGATGCCAGGGATTGAACCGGGGACCTTCCTCATGCAAAGCAGATGCTCCACCTACTGAGCTACAAGTGGAGCACAAGAAACAGTCACCACTTGTGTACCATGGTTCCCTATTATGTATTTATTTGTCTGCAGCAGGGCCTGGTTTACTGTGTTAATGAAGAAAAGGACACTCAATCATTACTGTTTATACCACATGATAAGCAGCTGAGCCATGAGGATTCTACAGTCTTTCAATGGCAGAAATGCTTGGATGATGGGACAGCTGTCACATCACTTCTCCCCAAGCCCTGCCACTATCAATGGGATGCGACATTAGAACCACAGTCTTCACCGGCTAGGAAGGTGGCCGCCATTTGCCTACTCGGGCTCCTTACACATCTGTTGCTGCAATGTTTGTCTAGAACCAGCCACCACGGTCTTTGCCTATGTGACTGCAATCTTAGCCAGAAATCCATAGTCTGGAATAGGTAAGGCTTCTGCTCACAGAATCTGGCTTTTTTTCAGATGTGGAATGTGTGCTTTATTCTGTACGATGCGTAAGTCCCTGATGGACTGATAGATGTTTTACAAATGTCTCCCCTCTGTATACAAAGGGTGTTAAACCATGTTTTCATTAAGGTTTCAGAATCCCTTTCAGAATCTGCCCCCCTGGCATCGGTGGGTGTCCTCAGCCTGCTCCTGCAAAGAGAGTTGAGCCAAGAAGGTTGCAAACACTTGCAGACCCTCGGCTGTGTAACTGGCAACCTTCCCCATCAGGTGCAGCTGCCGAAAGAGCAGCCACAGGCGATGAAGGTGTGCTGTTATCAGCTGCACCAGGCGCCATTCCTGGAGACCCCCGTGCCCAACCTTCTTCCACAACCTAGGCATCCAGCAACAACTGTGCTGGGGGTGAAACACGGTGCTGCTTGCACAAGCGTGGGACTTGATTCCTGCCGAGCCTTCCATAATGCTGGGAGGGATTGCCAGGAATTTGGTCTCTGGAATACTGCAAAGTGGACCAGAGTTCAGGGAACCAAGCCCAGGGAATTTGGCCGATCCCCCCCCCCGCAGATTTCTCACCCAGGCCTAGTTCTAATCCTTGCACTTTCATAACCGCAGAAACTGTACTGTGAGGCCACACCAGATCCCTCACACCAAAACATGTTACAGTTAGACATACGGACAGCCTGCAGAACTGGGACAGAGGCCTGATGCAGGCTTCCCCAACCTGCTGCCCTCCAGATGTACTGGGCTGCTGCTCCCACAGTTCCCAGCCAGCATCCAGAGGGCAACAGGCAAAGCTGCTCCAAAGCTGTTGCACAGCAGGTCACAGAAGAAAGCACCCCCCCCCCCCCAACACACACACACGCACAGAAAAGAAATGACACAATTTCATTGTGGCTAGGAGAAAAAGAAGGTGAGCAGAAGGTTAAAAGAAATGGAGCGACTGGTCAAAGCCAGGTGCTTTCATTCTTTCCCTTAAGCTGCCGCGGCTGGGTCTCTTTGATAGAACAGAGGGTTGCCAAGAGGGACATGGGGAGAAATTGGAATCCGTCAGGAGGATTTGGGGGAAGAATCTTCCGTCTTATTTGTATTTCTGAATAGCAATCAGCTTTCTTTCAGAGACATATGGGGGTTTATTGTACATGCTCACTGATCAGCGATCCTGCACGTAGCTTGTGAGCTGCCTGGGGATTTTTAAAATGAAATGGAAAATAGGAGATATTTTCTGAAATAAAGAAATATAGTTAGGAGAGATTGCCTAAGAACTGCCACCCACAGAGGACCCCAGACTGTGGTTCTGGGGACCAGACCAATGGCTGCCCTATATAAGGACAAATAATTAATCCACTTGCTGCAGCACTACCTTCTGCAATGCACTTGATGAGATCAGCAAAGCCATTTACGGGGTCATATGCCCACCCCGTGCACCCCAAAGTAAATAATTCATTTACTTAAGAACGCTGCTGGTACTCATTGCAAACAAACAGATTTCTTGCATGGTCCTGAAATGAGGTCATTCCTTTACAGATAACCAAAACTACTTACAAGAGGCATTCCTCAGAGGCAGAATACTTTCCTGAGGATAGGAGTGCTTTAAACTTGAAGGCTGGATCTACAAGTGCAGCAGAATGAGCTAGGAATGAACTGGGTGGAGAGCTGAGGCATCCGAAAAAGCAGGGCCATTTTAAAAGTCAGTGCAAAAACCTGTCTGTAAGGGGACAACTGCTCAAGGTGTGCAGACAGAAATTTATCCACCTCTTCTTCCTCCACACTAACCTTGCCTGAAAACTTTGGATGACAAATGTGATTTTTAATCTCTTTTTTATTGTGAAATCCAAGGATGACCTATTTGATTTATTATATTTATATTCCACCTGTTTTTCTTCCCCAAAGTTCAAGGAAGCTGACAAAATTCTCCTTCTCTCCTCAGTCTTCTCCTCACAACAACAACCCTGTGAGGCAGGTTGGGCCGAGAGTCTGCAAACATCCCGTAGTCATCCAGTGAGTTCCATGGCTGAGCAGGGACTAAAACCCAGGTCTCCCGAGTCCCAGTCCTTCCCTTTTAGCCACTACACCACACTGGCTCTCATCAGGACTGTGACAAGATACATAGTAAAGCTGTTCTCCCCAACCTGGCAGCTTCCAGATGTGTTGGTCTGGACCTAGCATCCTCAGCCAGTAAATACCTTGGTATAATATAATATAGTCTAATACATAATACATATATAAGTATTATGCAGAATATGGTGATGGTGGTGGGTGGGTGATGGTCCTGGCTGACGCTGTGTTTGCCAAAACCTCTGAAGAACCTTATTCTCCCTCATGGAGTTAAGCCAGCTGTCTTCCACATAACAGGTTGTATCCGATGTCAGTTGTACTTACAGTAGACCCACTATAATGACTGTGATCTGGTTTGACTTCATTTAGGTGCTACCATTTCCTGCAGGTATGTGCCAATGAAATATGTAGCGTGCACTTGAAAATGTTCTCTCTGTGTGCATTGTGAATATATTAAATACATATTTCCAAGAAATTCAGGGTGCTTATGAGCAGGAAGAGAAACCCTAAGAAAAACAATCAGATGATTAACAATCATATTAACTCTTCAAAGACAAGCATCAAACTAAACCCAACATTAAGAACTGAGATGCAGAAGGGAGGACTTGTCAGCAGTGCAGTTAGAACTGGACTTTGGGGCCTCAGCCCGGTGCCCCACAGCCCGAGGGACCCACAGATGACTACCCAGAGCTCTGGGCTTTCCTAAACGACACATTACTCCATCCTAATCGTCTGTGTCTAAGGACGATTTTTGGAGATTGTTTTTTAGAGCAGGAAAACATGGCATTGGTTTATAAAAGCAAAAGATTGCACGCTTTTCACATGTGTATTTGCACTACTCTCCTACCCCACAGTGCCACCTATAGGTTATGTAGCAGGAAGTTAGGAAAGGAAGCACTCCTCATCCTGTATAGTGTTTCAATTCTGCCATGCAGAAACCAAATACAGCAGACTAAAAGCTGCTTTCTAATCTTGTACACAAAAGCTCCTACACGAAGCTGTTAATCCACTGTTACCTACTCTGGTGACAGAACAGCAGAAATACACAAGTGAAAAATCGGCTTCTTTTGCTTTAACAATTAGATGCCACCCTTTCCATGCTCTAAAAAACCTTGTGGAAAGTGCTGATTAGACACAGAAGCAAAACTGGGGGGTCATGCCCTTGTCTAAAGAACTGCTAAACAATAATGAATAGGCAATGACGAACGCATGCTAAACACCTTGTGCAGGAAAGCCACGCCAGAGAACAGCAAACATTAGGGTAATAAAATCAAACTCCATTTTATTCCTGTACTCATGATTTAATGAGCTTGAAATGCAAAACTGCACGTGCTCAGAGTATTATTGGTTTAGATCAGTGCTGGCAAACATTCTAATACGTGAGAGCCGCAATTGTGGTTGTGGAGGTGCGGAGGGGACGTTAGCTGTGTGCGTCAAGTCCGAAATAATACACGAGGCTAACGAAAGGGAGCGCTGCGTGGGTGCGTAAGAGCCTGAAGTCCAGGGCCTAAAGTTAGCCTTAGCTGCGCCACTGATCGTACCAGGCCTTTGGACGGGCAAGGACGAGTTCTAACGGGGGGCGATCCGCAATCGATCCCCAGGCAAAGGATAACCCTGTTGGGAGGGATGGCGCAGAATCGAGGCACCCCTAAAACATACCTGTAAGACCGGTGCCCTTCCTTTTAAACATAGTTTGGCAACAGTCATGCCGCTCCTCCTTGCCAAGTAACTCTTGTTAAATCAACTTGAGACTGCAATGAACCCTACGGGCGCACACTTAAAAGGGAGAGGGGGAGGAGGAGCAGGGGGAGGGCGGGCAGGCCGAAAGAGCCGCCTCCCTTCTCCTGCTCCAGACACAGCACCTCTCGTACCTGTGCGCACATGTTCCCAACCGCGCCAAGGTCTCCGGTAACACGCTCCACAACACACGCACCCTCCTCTCTGGTTAACCCCTGAATGAATCCGTCAGCGCCGCCGCGCATGAGTGACAGCCAGGCAATTCGCTGGCCCTGCCCAGCTCGCCGAGTTGTCCCCTCGTCTGCTTTTTCCAATCAGGAGGGGAGAACAGGAGTCTGGGAGGGATTTCCTGCAGAGAGAAAGAGCGGTCCTGCCTGGAGAGGGAGAGGGAAGGGGGAGGAGGGGGAGCGCGGAGACAGAAAAGGAGGTGGCGGCGGTTACTTTACAGAAGAGTTCCCAGGCGCCTTTTGAAACTGACTAGACCAGTCAATTTCAACCGGGGTCGACGGTGCCCCTGGGAAACAGAAGAATGCGAGCTCTGGAAAGAGCGGAGCCGGGACGCCGTGGTGGCAAGCTTGCCTCCGCTTGAGTTCTCAGGTTCCGCAGACTTCGTGCGCACACGCACTCGCACACCCCTCTCCTGCCCTCGCTCCCTCCTCCCTCCCCAGCACCAGCAAGTCCTCCGAGCCCGGGACTGTGAAGAGATCAAAAGCATTCGTGTGCGCGCCTTGGAAGTGGAGAGCAGCTCTTGGCTTTTGCTTCGCCAGCTTTGCTGGGTGGAAGGGGAGGAGAGGAAGAAAGCCAGCCGGCCAGCCAGCCACAGGACTCGGGTTGGGTTTGCAAGTTTGTATGCTGGACATGCTGGATCTCCCTTATGAGGTGAGTTGTGCAAAGGAAAGAATTTGCGGCGGCGGGTGTGCGTGTGAGGGGACGGAGAGGGAAGAAATCAGCTCGAAATCTTCCTCGCTGCCTACGAAGGTTTATTTCTCTCCCTTCCCCACCCCCGCTGCCCCTTAATTCTCCTTATTTGGTAACTTCTCCGTATCTGTGTTGGAGATTGCAAACTCTGGGACTTTAGTACTTTTACCAGAACTCAACTCTCTGTTCCGCTCCGCCTTTGGAGTTGGATATTCAAGGGCTTGGTTGGATCGCTGCTTGGGTGCGTGTTGCGTGCTTGTTTCTAAAGAAC